TACGATATCAAGACGTTTACGTTAATAAGACAATACGTTATATCGTTAAAATGCAGAATATTGAAAGTAAGTTTAGCTTCAGCCCTTGGTAGTGAGCAAAAGATTAGGGGATTTCAGACTGATACTATTGTCTATATGCTCCGCTCTAATCACTCACTACTTCGGTCTAGATTTATTTATGTTTTAGTTACTAAGACTAGATATCATTTTATTGGATACATATTTTACATTTTACGCCTCGAAACAATTATCTAGTCAAACTAACCAATAAAATATCTCTAAGTCCAACTTAAGAAAATCAAAAATCAAATCAAAAACACCAAGTCGGAGCAGTATACATCTGCACCTAACCCCCATCACTTGGTACCTAGCTCTCCATCCCATTTAAGGCATGGACGGGTAGGAGGAATCAAAACCATGTTGTCCTAAATTCTAACAACTCTGATCCTGTCCTTTTCTCTGAGATTATTATCGAATTATACCATAGGTTTGTACCAACAACTATTTCATGCCTGAGACCCTCTCTCATGGTAATCCCGTTAATTAGAGATTTCCAAAGTGTCATTTTCAGGTGTCAGATTTGTATCATTCCTATATAATATACAATTGTAATTTCAGTGGAAAAACCAATCTATATTTGGAAAACCACCTAATTGTCCACAGTAGAGTCCCATACTCTACTGAGTACTATCACATGTTCAGAATCTTGAATATCTCAATTCTTGTTCATGTCCAATATGTTAAACCTATTCCAGTAATACAAGTATAAACGTTAATATGTTAATACGTTTATAAAATACTTTAACTGTGCAACTACTATTAAGAACCCGCTACTATTACATAGCCCCCCCCCTCCCTCCTCAGCTTGAAAATTACAATGTTGGCTTATATGCGGTATTAATACATAGACTCAAAAAGCTCACATGAATTGTACAAGCGAAAAAGAAAAGAAACGGGTTTCGATCATATAACGGCCTCAATGCTTATGTTATATTCTCATAGACAAAGTATACTTAGACTTTATAAGTTACTCGGTTACTCTGTTTGGTCCTTGTGGTCCCCGAAGGTGGATGGTACGCACATTCCATGCTGTTTAAAGCTGGGAATGTATGATTTCTGTGGATAGATCTTAACCACTTCAGGTCGCTTATTCGATGGTAAGATTGCTTCTGCATCAGCCATATTTTTGTGTAAGCGTTTGCGAAATTTCTTATTAAAAGCCTTTAGTACATCCGGATCATCAAATGCTGATGTTGGAAGATCATATTGTGCTCCATCGGCGAACTCCGTAGTGTAATATGTCATATCCTCATGTTTGTACTTCCCTAGAATCTTCTTAAACTCGTAAGACATAAGAGGTGTTGTAGCTTCACGTGTGCGACGAAGGATGATCTCTGCCGTAGGGATTCGATGTGACCCGATATTTAAGGTACTAGAACCGTAAACGTTGTTAACTTCATACGTTCCGCTCTTCTTATCGGCCACAGAAATCATAAATGGTCCAATATATTTAGCCGTAAGCACAGTTGTATCGGAGTTGCAAGCCATAATGTTGACTATATTGCTGTACATTGTCCATGTCCCTAAACAAGTCTTGCATAATTTGTTGAAAGAACGCAGGTAACATGAGTAACCCAAAGGGGGCACCTTTGAACGAATATTTCTGACCCTCCCAGGTAAAGGTGAAACACTTACGGTGTGGTTTGTAGATCTTCATCTGGTGGTAGCCCTGCGTCAGGTCGATAGTGGAGAATATCTTAGCTCCCTCCATGCGCCTGAGTAGTTAGTTTATCCTTGGTAAGTGAGAATTGTGTGTCGGTATCAAAGCGTTAATTGGGCTCATATCCAAACACACCTGAACTTTCTTCAGCATCCCGTCAGAGTTGAATTGGTCAACGGCTAAAAGTGCTAGCTTGACGGGAGTCGGCTCATAGTTGACTGCGATCACTCCGTCATCTAACCATGCTTTAACCTATTCTCGTACGACCTGCTCATGACGCCATGCAATATAGTTACGTGTAGGACACTTCAGCTTCGAGAAATCTACTCTCGTCAGGTCTAGACTAACGTATCTGTTATTGAATTTAAACATAGCCCAGTCCGTGATCCGAATCTTGTCATTCTCGAAAATCAAGTACTTGAGTTTCTCTGTAAAGTGAGGGATTATCTCCTTCACAGTCTTCGAAGGTTTATATACCGGTTTCAACAAGTTGTCGTCCGACTGATCATTCTGTGGTTCGGTGTTAGTAGGTAAGCCTGTAATTGTGATACCTAATGACAGTAAATCACCCATACTTACTATGAGATCATAGTCTGGTGAAGTGTTACATACGACTGCCTTAGTAACTGTAGTACGTTGGTCTGTCAATGTAAAGCTAAGATCGATTGCCATTTCTCTGCAAGTGATCTCTTGTTCATCAGCCAGTTCCAACATAGTTGGCTCTGACTTACAAGTTACGTCTGTGATTTACAGAATTTAGAGAATATACATGAAATTTGCGAGCCCGGATCTAACAACGCTTTTATTTCATGTCCGTTAACTTGTACGTCAAGGATTACACGCTCGTCTTGAGGTGCGTCCTTTTGTTTTAGTGACAAGACCATAGTGGCAGTTCTAACACACTTCCGAGATTACTTATACTAAACAGCATTTACGCTGATGTGTGATCAAAAATCTCGTCAATATAAATGAAACCCGACTCACAATTATTGAGTCGCTGGCATGATACAATATCAAAGTTTCTTTTTGATATAAAACATCTGCCAGGAATACATAAACATTTACCGGATATATTATCACGCTTCGTACCGGACTTTAATAAATCCGTACGTGAGATACTAGCCACTGACTGGAAATGTAATCCCAGATACCATAGATATGTTTGCTGCACATCATAGTGCACAACTATCGAATTACAGGACTTTAAATCATCCTTTGGGAGACGCCTTTCAAATAGACCTCTCCAAACATAATGCGTGGGCAAATCCATCACGGCAGTTAATTGCCCACCTTTGTGGTACGGATCGGGTCTGCGCCGTGTAGTGCCGCACGTAAAACGTACTCTTAAAAAGTATGTAAACTCAGTTTTCCTTAAATGTTTTTTAACGGTTTTATTAGGTAATACCTTTTCCAATTTACATTTCAGATATTTGGACAAGGCCATTAAAGGGCCCCAGTAAAATATCAAATACGAGATTTGGTCGAGTTCTATTGATAGAACTGTATTTACTTTCCAAATATATCTATATCTGAATACTTCGGTAGCGAGATGGCTCAACCGAACATGGGTTTCTGAGGACTATTAGCTTTGCTTAGTTTACCCTCCGTTCAGCCAACCAGATGTGCTAGTCTGATGAAGGCTAAGTCGGTAATTCTTGATAAGTGGCAAGTTAATGGTTAATGCAATAACTATGGACATCGAGAGTATTATTTTTTTCTTATATAATTTTTTTCTAAAGATAAGGATTTTATGAGTTTTTCCGATTCGACCCAACGAAACAAACCATAGTTTATATTAAAGCGACAACGAAATACTAAATAAAATCCCTTCGGCGAAAACAGTACTGAGAGAAGTATATATAGGCAATGTCTCAGCCTCAGAATCCCTCAGAGTATTGCTGTTTTCACGAGGCATACTTAACCTGACTAAAAGATTCATTTCGTTTATTTACATTGAATTTAATTATACTTAGACTCAACCTAAGCGTTTAATTACTCTAAGACGTTAATATCGCCTTGATAGACGAAAACTTACAGAGATGGTTGTTTTCACCATCGATCTGTACTAGAAGTGCAGTAGTTACTTGATACGTGGAAGTATTGACATTCATTTATACGGCATCAATTGAAATAGGCTCAAGAATTTCAGTCTCAGCGAGGTATTTGTTTATGAGGCCTGGAATGGCTCAGTGTCTGTAGCATAACGGAATATTTGTGAGCGTGGCATTGTTGTTAATTCACGAAGTCTCACGAAGTCAATCGTACAGGGGAAACAAAGATGACCTTAATGTTAGTTTAAATCCAACATTCATTTAATATACGACACAATGATCACAGCCACTTAATCAGTTACAATACGCGGGCATTGAGAGTCAATAGAAATCGATGCAAGAAATGGCATAACTCTGTGATACAAAAGTATTACAGAATTATATATGTATCACACGCAAAAGACTAAAGACTACTTGAAAACATAGATTTGCCTGTTTCAACACTTAAGAGCAATTGCAAGAGCTGTTATGTACATGTGTAAGCTGTTTCAAAGCAGTCTAAGTTTGTTGTCCTAATTTCGGTCGCTTTGGAAGATAATACAAGCATCGGACGTGGGCAGTAATTTTAGTTCAGACTGTGATGAACCGTTATCCCATTGGTCGACACGAAAGTGGCACGCCAAGACTTCCGTTGGAAGTCTTGTAACAAAACCTAGTTTACACACGTTTTTGAATATCAAGTCAAAGGGTTTTTAAGAAACATTGGCACCGCAGGGCGCAGGGTGCACCACAGGGTTTTACACATTCTTATTTGTTTTTAAAAAACAAAAAAGAGAAGAGAGCGTAGAGAGCTCTCTTTAATCTTTAGAAGAGAGAGAGAGAGATAAATATTTGTTTTTAAAAACAAATCTTTTATTAGACTTTTTGCTAAATAAATAGAGTCTATGCACGGCCACATCACCACAAGCCTCATGGCCAGACTGCCAGAGGGCAGATCCTCTGATTCTGTCCCCGGGGTTGTCCCGGGTTCACCACCTGTTCGGCTCTATGATTAATCGACTCAAATACTATTCTTTTAAAAACAAAAAAATGACAAAACTGTTCATGGAGCTGTGAACATCAACAATAAAAAATTGGCTTTAGGTGACCGGGGATTTTTTACTATAGAGGCTGACCCAGAGGTACCTTAAAAAATCAATCTCATTGGCATTACGCGATTCAAGTTCTTGGTAATGCAAGTATACTTAATACCATCCCGATCGGACTATTGGTTCAAAAGATATGTTGTATTCTATTTTGTACCAGAAATGGGTCAATCCAGCCACGCGGGACCTTGGAGGTCTTATTTTTATCAGCACTAAGCACTGATTGAGTTAAAATTTTAAATTTGTGACGTTCATCGAGCTCCGACCACGGGGTCAGGGACTCAGGGGTACAGTCTCTCACTTTCGTATATTTGTTATGTAGTGTATTTACATGTGTATATATTTCACTTTTCTCCTTAGCTTTTCAGTAGCACGTTCATACATAGACTAGCACATACTACAACAGATACTTATGGGAGACACTTCTCGTGGTGAACAGTGTTGTGCGAAAGGATGCACTATAGCGCACCCAGTGGGTGGTGCACACAAGTGTGCTGCTTGCGATCGAAGTATGCATGTCTTTTTTGGCGTGCATCTTGGTGAGGGGTTTGATTCAAATTCAATCGGTTACTGCCTTTCTACTGATAAATGCCAGCCACCGGAGGACAAGTCAGATCAGACAACTACTGAATCAGATACAATGCAGGAAGACGACGTGGTACAAGCTACGTTTAAGCAGTATGCATTGTCTAATGTGAATGGAGCATCTAGTATAATGATGAATAAGCTCACTGAAAGTAAGAAGAAGAAGTCATACCCACAGACTGTATTATCTAAAGTAAAGGACAGAACATTTACGAGGTACAATCTAACAGATAAAGACAAAGGAATTATCGTGCGCGCAATCAAGAAAGTGGGATACAGCTTTGACAACTCCTGGAAAGAGAACTATCGTAAGGATTTAGTCAAAGAAGCCGTGCGAGCTGCGCGTGAATCATTCGGTGTGAGCTTGAAAAAATACGAAGGTTGCGTAAATAAACAGAAGATTTCTACAAGAGCAGAAATATTGAAATATAGGAGCATTTTTGAGTGATAATGCGCCCGGAATAGCTCTTGGTCTGCTTATAGGTCGACCCCGAACCTGACAGTAGAATCTGACCCAGACTTGACCACCTCTTTATATGACCATTTTTTTTTTTACCAAAAACGGACATTGGTCATAGAAAGAGGTTTGACTGTACATACATAGTAAATAAATACATATATATACCATAGCCGTCTAAATCGAACACATACACACAAGAATCGTTTTCTTATTCATTTAAAAAAAAACAAAATATGTTTTTCTAGAAGTTGTATTACCTTGCACTCAACGGGCCGATCATATTTAATCTAAAACAAAATAATAATTGGCCAATATTGTTCGTTAAACGTTTGTCGTTCAATCGTCATTTTCATACAACAAAACACGATAGCCTTCTATTTAAAATCTAAATCATTATACAAAAACTAGCAATTTTAAATTTTTTATCTACATCTTTCATCAACGAGTATTGAGCGATGAATACGTGACGTACAAACAAGAAGTAGCGCAACAAGCGTCAAGCGGCAGAACTACATACAAATTTAAAAAAAAATAACGCCTTGGGCATAGCCCTCATAATATACAAGGGGCTTGGGTTCTATTTGATTTAAAAATAAAAATAAACAAATGTATAAATTGAAGAAAGTATTTTCTGAAAAGGTAAAGCATACAAATATTATTATCTTGTCAGTTGTGGATTGTGGCACTTGTGGGCCGTGGGCCGTGGGTGCTTCAAAAGTTCAAAGTTCATTATCAAACTGCACTGTGGAAATTGATAATTGATATCAATTAAAAATTATAAAAATAAAGAAAAATTATATTGATACATCAATCAATCATACAGTTGTTTAAAAAAATAAAAATATTGACATGGTCGTTGGACGTTGAATCGACGTCGTTGACATGACATCAATTGATTCGATTCTCAAAATTAATGAACAAGAATCATCATAGCCTTCTGGAATAATAACTGGATTGAGTCTCCTGAAAAGTTGTAGGAGTATACTGTATAGACTAGAGAGTCATATTTTCGAGAGAGAGAGAATCATTTTTCGAGAGCGTAGACTCGCTCTATCCACTCTATAGCTAGATTACAGCAGAGACTACTCTGAGAGAGCGCCATGAAATTCAAATAATGGTGGATATACCCTTGTGACAGTTGTCTTGTTTTGTTTAGGCTATGGTTAAAAAACACCTATTACAATTTTTTTTGTATTATTTATAAGAACATATATATAAATATTTATATGTATACACACACACCCCCACACCCACCTACCCACCCACCCACACCCACACCCACACCCACACACACACACACACACACACACACACACACACAACACACACACACACACCACCCACCACCCACCACCACACACACACACACACACACACACACACACAC